TTAATTCAGATTTGTTTGCTCGAATAGTCCCATTTGAGCTTTGCGCTTATTATTATTAATAATGAAGGCTGACTTAAAGAAATTAACATTACATTTTATTTTCGTTAATTTGATGGCAACTGAGGGGTCCAATTAATGTGACGGGGGTTCAAAGAAGGCAATCGTCACATGTTTTTATTTTTCCGTTTTGTAGAACAATGCTTAATAAAAAGAAGCCTGTAGCAACATCTACGAGTACAAGAATTTAAGACCTTTTTTAAACTTCGAATATTTATCTGTTTACGTTGTGTGATTTACAATTTAGGCTTGTTCAAAATGAAATGGTCGAATAGTAGCAACCTTACTCTATGTTTCCAAGTAGGTGCACAACGTGCGTACGCATATGTACCAGACGTAGTAGGTGGAAATGAACAATCGTGATTCTTGAAGTCCTGAGATACAACGATCCGTCGATTAAGTATCAGAGTGCAATTAGTTTCGGATTGTACAATAAATGATTGTACAATATATCCTGGGACAGTCTACAGCACTATCGTTGAAATGGGCAAGTGGGAGGGAGCCGTGCTATCCACAGCTTGAAAGCAGTTCACGATCGTCCACCAGAGACTGACCTCAAAAGTTTTCGAAGGTCGGCCGAGTTGCAGTTCCGTAGTTTTGAGCGATAAATCGGTGTTTCGCCAAACTCAATTATAAATACACCGCCGGTTTTGGTACAAAGGTTTCGCAAGCCGTTAACTTCCCGTACTTTTGATTAAACATCCGGAGTGTCAGCCACTAGTTTTGCCCTCGCTCGCGTGCGAGTCTCAGATAGAGGAGAAACTGAAATAAACTTCGCTAAATCATTTCACTTCGCAAATACTTGTTTAGGGCGTCTTCACTCGAACAACTTTGTTTATTGAACGTGCCGGGGAATTACACTTCTTCTCAAGTGAACGGATATTTTGGTTATAATATTGCATTTAACTCGTAGGTACGAATTCCGTTTACAATACATCGGATTTGAATTGGCACGAATCCCTCGAAACAAAAACAGTCGATCGCTAATTAATTCTTACTTCCCGAGCTTTGTGTTGTCACCTTAATTCAGTTTCCTGTATTTTACGAATTCCCTCGCAGCTGTTTTAAATCCAAGATTTAATTGTTTTCTCACTACACTTCGATACTCTAAAGATTTAGGAGTAACACTTGAACGTTCTTCAGCCGAGAAGTATACGCATACAAGTTGTCACACGACCCTCCTCGGGAATTTTAAACAATAGACACGCGACTGAAAGGATTACGGCACGCCACATCTACCGCCGCGCGCCGCCGTCGCCGTCGGCCTCGACAAAAAGCTGCAGTAATTAGAGCCGGCGCTTCCAGCCTCCTATCCAGACTTTCATCTATCTATATAGGATGTAATCGTGAAGTGTACCCGGGCGATTATTCCTTAACTTTGAACTTATATTGATAGTACGTTACTTAGTGAATAAAAAGATATCAATTAAAAACAATACTAGAAATATCCAAAATTTTTAAGTTAAATGTTCCCATACATATAATATGACATTCGTACAGAGGCTTTAGTTTCGAAAAACTGCTTTGAATACAAAATGTTGGGTCCGTTCGTTATGCGCCCGGTTTGTTATGCCCCCGATTTTAATAAATTTTGGAACTACATATCTAGTCTATTTGCATTAAGTATTCTTAATAACTAAAATGTTTCTGAATTTAATATAATTTACTCATAATGTGCACGTGTGTTATTACGTGTTTTAGAAAAAATCCGTGCATTTGTATCCTTCATTATATAGTAGATTGTACAACAAGTGCATAAAACGTGTCTTTTTACCCGAGATGAGTATATCCTTAAGTCGAGGGTAATATGGGTTTTATGAACGAGTTATACACTCTGCTTTTCACTTCGATTGCGAGGAAATTAAACAGCAACATTACAAATAAACGATTATTTGATTAAAATTGAATGTAAAATTACAACAATTAGACATATTTAATGTAATGGTTTTTTTATTTTATGCACTAGAGCATAAAATCCTATTTTATGGACTAGGCATAAAATCCTATTTTATGCAGCCTACACCCAGCAAAAATACGAACTTTAAGAGCATGAGAAGTGAGAAGGTACTTTAAGTAAAAAGAAGACGATTTTGCCTGTTCAACGATTGTTAGTATGAAAAGTTTTTTTTCTAATTTCGTAATAAGTATGTAAGTCAATTTGTATACTTGTAATAGTTATAATTTTGTTAAAACTGATATGCATATACTTATGCATTTTTGCTTGAATTGTTATTTACATTAGTCGATTATCAATGTAAAAAAAACAACTATTTTGATGTTGTCTTGTTGTTACTGTATAAATAAAGGAATTAAATAATTGTGACTGGCACTTATTTGATCAAGTGTACAAAAAGTTTTTTATATTAATCAAATTATTTTTGTATACGAGTATTACATACCTTTTCATTTATTTTTTGTTTTTATAAAAGCATTTTAGTACTGGAAAATAGCTTTGAATTATATTTATCGTACTTAACTCAAATCGGGGGCATACACCACGGGGGCATAACGAACGGACTCAAAGGTTTTTACTTACTTAAAAATCGAAATCACTTTATTTTTATTGAATTAAGAGTTTTATTACTTTATTTGTAGCAGTTTCGTTATCTGTAAACTTATTGTTACTTCTTAAAGTAGCCAACTAAAGCGTCTTTACGAATGTAACATTAAATGATATAGAATCGTTGAATGTTAATATTTTGGATATTTCCTGTTTTATTCTAAAAAGTTATTGATGTCATTTTACTCATTATTAGTTTAATACTTTTTGATATTTCTTATATTTACCGAATAATGCCTAGGCACACCTAACGATTACACTCTGTATACACCTTTATGTTATCAACCATTTAAAGGGGGCATTCATTATCCTGCATTGCAGTCCGCCTGGCCATCAGCCGCGTAATACAGGATTATGAATGTAATCGCAGCGTGCAAGCCATCCTGCAATCCTGCAATGCGTCCTGTTTTTTGACATATCTCCTTTGAAATTTTTGACGTATCTCTACTTATGCCATTGTTCCATGCAGGGTGCTATTTATTGTGCGACGAACAAAGTATATTTTCTCAAGGGTTATAGTTTGTATCAAAACCAGTTAGTCAGGTAAAATAGGTAACTCATTTCCAACAACGTTATGTCTTCTAAATCAACACAGTGACGTTAGTAAGTCAACAATCAAAACCACGCGACGAACATAGTCAACGAGTCCATTAAAAGCCAACGATGGTCGCTCACAACTATCCACTATTCTTGACGAGCGTGTTTCGAACAACGTTACCGGAGTGTTGTTGAATATACATCGCAAGATGGTTTAACCAATTAAAATTTAACGTTATAAAAAAATGCAATGGCTTGCGAAATGTGACGCCCGTTCGACAAATTCAACGTTAGGGTGATTGATATAGCCCAAACAAATCGTGCGGGTTGTGCCATGTGCACGCGCCAGTTTTATCGCCTGCACTACCCGCCGCCGCTGCCGCCGCCGCTGCCGCCGCCGCCGACGGTCGGACGTTTATATTTTATTGGCACTCTGATCAGTTCCCACATTCGTTTGTTTTATTGATTGGTCCTGCCTCTAATTCACGGCTTTAATCGCTAACCGAATAGCGACTACCGATCAACACACGGAGAACTCACGAAGAAACCTAATTTTACATATCTAATTCCTTTTAAAACTAGCAAAACAAAAAAGTCTGTCCAAGATTAATGTATTCTCAGAACTATACATGTTTACAGAGATAATAATCCTTCAATAAATCAGTTCCCATAAATAACACAAACCCTCTACATTGAGCGTAGGCATTAATAGCTTTTCTATGTGAACCTTTCAAAAAGCTTTAAATAGAGAGACTTAAAAGGTAAAGTGATCTATTCCTGTTAACTACGAGGTACTGAGCCCTTAAATAAAAGTGTCACCCTCGCGTATTCGCGCCATCCGCCGTTTATCATTTTTTCGATCAGCGCCCCGCTCACACCGTCCTCTCCGCCCCGCTCACCCGCCACAGATAACCGCGGGGTTAGTTGACAGCTTTCAACTCGGGATTAACTTCGTATTGCGGCGGTGCGAAAAAAAAATTAATAGCTTTTTTGATCGGCCCTTGGGACCGCTTTGAAATTTAAGTGCTAGTTATAGCACCAATCTTTTTCGAGATTCATAGTGGTTCAAAATCGACAGATGGCCGATCCTTTTGAAAAGAAATTAAAACAAAGATCGAATTTGAATATTTCCAACGGCCTTTTAAATCCGTCCATCGAATTAGGAAATAATAATGCAGGTACAACAATACAACAATGACAATTTAACATTTTACATAACGTATTTACGCCGTTGTAAATGATACATGATACAAATTTATAGATGGATTATGATAATACCTGTGTTGTTACACTGGCCCTGGGCTGAATAGAATAATTTATCATCCATGTTATTTTCATCTAATCATACACCCTGGTCTGTCTGCAGTGGTCGCATACGTGTATCATTAATGAAACCATCATAATAATAAACAATAAAGGCACCGAACAACTGGAAATACGATTGTCATCGCTCTATCGAACACCGAAGAATTAAGTTTCGAAATAAAAGACAACGCGAAATCTCGTCACGAATAAATACCGAAATCGGAATGTTTTCATCTGACCGTTGGACAAATATTGATAAAAGTTGATCAGTTTAACATTGACAGCGGTACAGATGAAGTAAACACTGCAACCGAGGCTGTTTGCGAGACAAGCAAATTTGTTGGCTCGATTGGAGGCGTATTAAAAGCCAATATTTATGTTTCTTTTGCAAATATCATCTACATATTTGAAATAGATTTGGCGTAATCAACTTTTCTTTAAGTACATACAGTGACCGACTTTTAATCAACATTGTATGACTACTAAACATGTTGATCAAGCACTCTTAACTACAAGTTAGCTAACTAAGCTAGCTACTCACCTGGTGGACATAAGCAGTCTCCGTAGTCCCTGATACTCCGCCGTGGTCTCCAGTAAGTAGGCGGCGGTCTAGCAAGCACCTCGCGGCGCAGCCTCTCCACCAGTGGCTGCTGCGGCTCAAGTACAGCGCTGCGCAGCGCTACGTGCTGCTCTTCTAGCAGAGCCAGCCGCTCCTGCAGGGCTTGCTGTTTGTACAAGCTGTACCCGCTCGAGATCAGGCTCATGGCACACGCACACCACAACACTGCACAGTACACCCACGGGTCCCCCGGACAGCGGTGCTCGCATTTCTCCCATTTTGTCTTCTTCTCTTTTTTATTATCTGTTTTTTCTTCTTTCCTTAAAGGACTCTGGCTCTCCGGAGCCACTTTGGCGCCCGGAGGGGACTTTCCGCCCATCTTCAATATCATGTTCTTCACCCTCATGAGACCGGCCTGAACGCTTCTAGCATCGTTTCCATCGGAACAGTCCAACTTTAATGTCACGCTAAACCCACTCTATATGAATGGAACGATACATTGTAATCACAATTGACTCCGAACGGTCCGACACTTTTAACGTTAAATCAACCTCTATTCCCCCAGATCGAAATTTAGAAACCGTTGGAAAAAGTTGTTAACTCATCATTATCGACGTTATTTATAGTAGTAATGTGCTCAGAAATGAAACTAATCTACGAAATTTATTCTGGACGAATTTAGTTGAGGTGCAGAGGTAGTCAAAGTTGCGATCGTATTTGAGTTCGATATGTTCGCGCGCGCGCGGCGCGAGCACGTGGCGTCTGGTCGGCAGGCGGAGCGCCACTGACTCGCGGTCTCCGCTACGAAATGGATCCGGCGACGGCGAAGCGCGCGCTGCAGCTACGCGCTACACGCCACTCTGACCAGTAAGGAATCCTAATGTCTTGAATTTATGAGTACCTTCCAAACGAAATGAAACTGGGAGCTTTGCCACTTGCGCGTAGGACGAGGACGTACATACATTCATTTGAAAAAAGATTACATTATGAAATCCTCTATTTTATTTAAACAAAAAGGGTGGAAACTAAATTTAAATAAACTTCATAGTTACAATGTCCAATAAGGTGTACACGTTTATCAATAGAACCGATTACTGGGGGTCTTGTAAAACCTGCTGGCAAGAATGGCGCAAATAGTGATACAGGTTCACAATCCCATCAGAACAAGACGACAATAAACTATACTAAGTGTAATAAAGGACCTCCTGATGCGCTGGCATCTTGTAGAATACCTTACGAAGATACAAATAGAAAATTACGCTATCGATCGATTACTAATACACAGAACGTGACTGCATTCCTTCGATTGTAGTTATAGACGATGAGTTATTTGTAGATAGCTTTGTGGTTTTGTGGGAGAAAGTATGTGGTTGGCGTTAAGGGGACACTTACAAAAAGCTGCATTCGAAGCAAGCCAAATTGGGCGACTGCTCGCGCGGAAGAAACGTGACGCGGAGGGGTGACACGACGCTCTGTAATTTAAACTAAACCAAGTGGATAAAACGATCAATAGAGTTATAGAGAACGCACAAGCCCGCGGGCTGAAAATCAGCAGAATAATTCTTAGATCTAATCCTGGATGTCTGCAAATGAAACTTTTTTATTGATTTTTTACCATCAAAGCAAAATAAATCCTATTCTCTGTTCAAACTACACTAAAGATAGCTGTAAGAACAACTACGTAAGAATTTATGAGAAAGATATCGAAACGAAATAGATTATCATTTTAATTTGAAAACAAAATAGTAAGACACGAGAGTCGCCGGCTGGACTCGCTCCAAAGATGTGTATCAACATTAATTAAATTTGTACGTAATAAAAAAGCGGAGATGTTTTTTAAACGTTAGAGCCTATTAATCTCTTTAATAGAGTCATTAAAAACCGAGCGGCAGCCGCAAGCGCCGCCTGCACAAAAACTTACGTCCCTTATAACCGTAACTACGCCGCCGCCGCCAGATGATAGTGGGCTTTATAATAAACCACTCATAATAAAATCAAAAGATAACTCTGATAACCACCCGTCACACGCCAAAGCAATGCACGTCGAACCACTAACGCTTCTCGTGATCGACGTCGTAATAGCTGTTTCATTATTTTGTTCAAGCTATTTACGGTCGACTTAATGTTACGACTACGTAATTGGTATTCATAAAAGTTTAAGCGGCACTAAATACTAAATATTTACAAGATAGCTGAAGATTAAGTGCAGCTGGAAGTTGGAGGGAGGAGGGTCGACGGCGGAGGGGTCGCCTTCATTAATATGTTAAAACCTCCCGAAAGCGGTTCATTGGCGACGCAATCTGCAGCCATCCGCGCGCCGACAAATGACTGCAATTAAAACTAGATTGTCGTTATTTAGCAGCGGCCGGCGGTGAGGCGCGGGGCGCGGGGCGCAGGGGCAAGCGCATAGGCGATCCATCTCGGCGCCCACACTTGTTTAAATTTAATTTAAACTTTCCTACTACGTCAAGTGCACGGTTAGCTCCCTCTGACAGCTCAGTTTTTCTCATTTAATTCACTGCACACTTAAATAATTGAGGGAGAGTGAGATCTTCATTTTCCCCTAAACTCGAAAAGTTTTAAGAAACTAAAAGTTTGATAATAATTACGGAAGACGACGAGTGGCAAGGGAAATTTGCGGCGCTGGACCGCCGCCGCCGTTACGTCGTCGCTGTGCTTTTACTCATTCGCGATTTCGACGTTCGCTTTAACAACCATTAAACTTTACTCGTGCCTGGGAAATATTAAAGCAGGCTCTGCGTTCTGCTAACGTTAGGGCGAGTGGCAAAACGTCGGAATAAACCAAAGGTTCCCCAACACTGCGGGCAGGAACGTAAACAGCGCAGTGGCGAAGCGAAAGTGAAATATTCAGAGCAGTTTCGTTATCGAATCGTGAGCGTTGTTTGCCGTCGCGGGGAAAAGTTGTCGGGGTGTAAATTGAGCTACTTCCTCCATTTTATGAATTGTCGACGGCGTCGGCAGTTCACCAACTTGCGCCCGCGCCCTCGCGTCCGCCTTGACTGCTGTAGTTTAGAACGTTAATAAATATCGAAAACAAAAGATATATAATATTTGATATATTGCAATGGGACTCCTTTTTGAAAGTATAGTAATTTTAATTTTTCCTACTTAATGCGTTACACCTAAAATACTGCAAAATATGTGCTTGCAAAACTTATAAAGTTGTCGGTTGTTGAAGAAACAGGTTGTAACAGTCACATCCGTCATAAAGCACTAGCACCTAATTTATAAATCAGAGTGAGTATGCAAATAAACACGCACCACTTAGAAGGACTGCTGCCATCTGAATTTCAAATGGGTGCCCTCGTAGCATAACCCTTCAAATTGGTCTGCGTTGCACGACTTGACCAACTACGGCTATCACGAATACTGGAAACTATGACTTCAACACTAGTATGTGACTGAGAGTCGTATTCCAGAACTCTACTCAATACTCAAGTCAGGACTTGAGTATTGCAGTGAGCACTGAAAATCATACTCAAGTCCTTGCCATTAGGGTCGTATTTCCAGTGCTTGAAATCATACTCAAGTCTGCTCAAATCCTGCCTTAACCATTAAGTAGAGTTCTGGAATACGACCCTTAGACTTGCCCAGTTGTTTTCGTGCGATTCCACCGAAGTTCGCGGGAGTTTGTGTATAGCTGTTCATGTAGGCTTGTTTGCGAACAGTGATTATGGGCGATCCCTTTGAGAGTCAAAACAAACAAATTGTATGAACACCGATAGACAGACGACAAAAACAATTTACGCTTGTAATTTAGCTGATCGTCATGTCCTAATTGTAAATTTTTATTTCGTGTAGAAGAAAGGTGTGAAATGTCTAGTATCATAATTCTCACAGCTCATAAACGTGTGCAATAACATAAAATGAAATTAAGGTGTTAATCGTGCAATTGATCGATGGGCATTTGCTGTATTATGTAAATAGTTTGGAGGTAAAACAATCGAAACTCAGCGTGAGGTCAAACCATAATAAAGACATCGATGCTACAACCAGGGGAAGGTTTCGGGTAACCACCATAAATCACAAACGCGTCTTGTTGACAGTACAAGTCGAGAGGAACAAGATGCAACTTTCAAACTTTCACATGCCCAGTTTTTTCATAATTATTACAGATTAGAACAGTCTTTTGTGGTACGTTGCGAGTATTGGTTCTGTTAATTCCACGCAGAAATTAAGAAATTTTAAACGGTCTACTTCAGTAAATCTTCATTATCATTATGGATCCACTACATATTATGTTTTACGGCTAGACAAGGGTTACGGACCTTCGACATACAAGTTTCACCAATTTTTTTTTACTTTGCAGTAAGGGAGAAGTATTACTTTAAATTTTTATTGAATTGATATTCAATTATTTTTTATGAAATTACTCCACTAGTTTGTTACAATTATTAACACAAATTTTCGAATATTCGATTTCGATTTCGATTTTCGAATCGGCCGGATCGAAGGATTTTTTCTGAGTGTTCGATCTTTATATTCATAATTATAACAGAGAAGTATTACTATTAAACATTCACAAATGTACGTAACTTAAAAATTAAAGTCAAAAGATACATGCCGCCAAAGGGATTCGATTTGTTAACCTTTCAATTGTGAAGAAACCGATTTCCCACCGAGCTACCACTGCTCACATGCTAAAGAAAATACTCAAGAATGAAGATGGTGGATGGTAGGAATGCAAGTTGTTTAAAAAACAAGCCGCAGGTACGCCATGAGTCGTGACTGGTGTGGAGCAGAGTGAGTTTCTGACGAACGATTGAAATGTTTACGACTAGTTTTGTAAGGTTGGCTGCAGGGAAAGACGTTGGGCCTTGAAAACAATCAGCAATAACGTCTCTGCTGCTATAATTTACTTACACCCGATGGAGTAGACAATGAAAATCTGATTATAGGGGAAACACTTTACAAATCCAGCTATTTGAATAATTATTTTGGTTGTGTTCAAGATTATCTTTAAATTATTCTTTTACAGCTATCTGTCAGTGCGATATCTACAACTCACTTTTAATTTGTATGCAGTTTGCCTGCTTCTCGTGTTTCTCGGGGCCACCGAGTAATGCGTGAGTCGTGCCGTGAACTGCAGCTGTACCGCCTCTTGCGTCGTCTTAATGACTTAATTCTCGATGCCTAATACGGGAGAACACGAAAAAGTAGTAACCATTTATCACCGTACAATTGTTACTTTGGCATCCCTCGAGAATTAAGAAAGTGCATGAGGAGAAAGCTGTAGACTTATTAGAGTTTACGATTGCGCGTGCGATACTCCTATTTATTGACAGAATTAGTTGACTTTTTGATGCCACATTTCAACGTGTCACATACATTAATGGTGATTCGGAGGGGTTTGAGAGTCGAGATGCAAACGTTTGTAAGAATTTTTAACTTGTATGTTAATAAGATTTACGTATAGAGCCATAGTTATCTAATTTTGTATTCAGTAGATAATTTGAGGCGAATGTCCCAAAACAAAAGACGGAACAACCGCGGAGCTGGGTTCCCGCGAAGTTGGGACAAATTATGAAACCGCATCGCAGTGTGTGCTTAGGCCTGTAGAGGCCTATTGTAGATTACGCCAGTGTAGTTGGACTTTAGGTGATTTATTGTTTGCCTTGCATTTGCATAATATTACAAGACTTATATACACTTATGAATTTTATGTAAAATCGAGTATAAACATATTAAAAGCGAAATAAAAAAATAGGTGAGAAATAGCTCATATTGAAGAACAGGCGTATGATTTTGTGGGAGG